CTGTCGCTGACGCTGTCGGCGTCGGTGCCCGTGCTCAGGGGCGGTCGCCCCTGGGGGGGGGGGGACCCAGCGAGGTGAGCTGCAGCAGAAAGCCGAGGGGATCACGACGGGAAGAGGGTTCGTCCCGGGGGGGCGGGGCAGCCAGACCCCCCCCCCCCCAGCTTCCCGGGGGGGGGGCAAGCGGAGAAGGGGCGGAACCCAGGAGAGAAGGGGGGGAGGAGGGATCCCTCCTCCTCCGCCTCCTCAGCCGCTTCGTCAGACATTGCACCTGGACGTTGGCAGCCAGCTTTGCAGCCGGTGGCCACCTCGGCGGGCCCAGCGCCGGGACGGGTGATAAAAGGAACAAGTATATGCGGTCACCCCATGGGAGCTTTGCCGGGAGTCTTGGCGTTGCACGCCCCATGGGACCCATCCGAACCAAGGGAAATGAGGCGAAGGGGGAAGAACGAGGGAAGATGAAGACGACGAGGAGGAACGATGATAGGAGAGGGTAAATCTGCCCACAACGGCTCCGCAGCAACAGGGAGGGCGAAAAATCCCGACTGGATCTGAGTAGCACCGCGAACCGTTGGATCCCCTCCTGGAGCGCAGGAGGGCGACGGCACGCGATGTCTCAATCTTGCCATTGCTCAAACGTCCATTCCCCATGCATTGTTCGGCTTCGCGCGTAGCCAAGATGCGCCAAGATGATGCAGATTTTCTGGCGCCGACCTAGCCGAACAACACTGCCCACGTCCGAACGACGCAAAACATTTGAGCAACGAAAATATGCGGGTCTAACTCAAGAAGGCATATCGGCCTGAAGCGGTGGCTTACGCAGGCCGCCAACGCGGCACGCTGCATTGGAATCGAGAGCGCATGCGCGCGACCTTACGCGGGCAGCTCACGTGCGAATGTCCACGCCATCGGACCCGTTGTTTTGCGCTGCTGAAGCGGATCTGCTTTGGCCGCCACTCCGCTGGACCCTCCGGGAGAGGAACACCGCGACAGCTGTACGCCTGGCAACGCCCAGGGAGGGCTGGGTCTCATTTGAGCATGCGTGGGGCGACGCTCTGCTGGACTCTCCAGGGCCGACGCAAAGCGGCGACAGTTGCACTTCAGCTGCACGCCGGGCAGCAAACAGCGAGCGCGAGAAGAGAGCACGCAGGGCAGCACACAGAAAAAAACGAGAGGCGGAAAAACACGAGAGAGTGGAGACATTTGGAGAGGGGAGGAGAAAAACGACGTGTGCTCAACGCAAAACGAGGGCCCAGCACGTCCCGAACGCTCTGGGGGGCTTCCGGAGGTTCCTGAATGTGTCTGGAAGGGGGAGGCGGAGGAGAAGGGAGGAGGAGGAGGATGGGGGAGGAGGAGGAGGAGGAGGAGGAGAGGAGGAGGAGGAGGAGGAGGAGGAGGAGGAGGGGAGAGGAGGAGGAGGAGGAATACGAGGAGGAATGAGGAATAGGGAGGGAGCCGACAAGAAGGTAGGGAGGGGGCGGAGCATGGGTCCTCCTTTTATTCCCGACCCTCATCCTGTTCATCATCCAATGCCTCCTCGTCCTCCGCTCCCTCCTCCGCCTCCTGCTGATGCCGCTACTCCTCCTCCTCCTGCTGCGCATCGCTATGACAGCGATCTCCCGTCCGTGGCCCGCGTCGCGGCGCCCGCCGCCGCGGCCGCGGAGGCCCTCTGGCACCTCCGGAAGACCTGGCTTTCGTTTCGGGAGAAGGGGGAGGAGGATGAGGATGAGGATGAGGATGAGGATGAGGATGGTGATGATGCTGATGATGATGATGCTGATGATACGACGCTGGCTGGCGGACGCCGCGCTCCGAGGTCAAGCCACGGGCGCCAGGCGTGCACAGGCGAAGGGGCAGCCCGAGCAGCCACCCGAGGTGCCAGGAAAGACGGTGGCCCCCACCCGAGAGACAGGATCTCGGAGCCCCGCAGGCACCAAAAAGAGAGGACAGGGAAAACAAGAGAATGAAGGTCCGCGGGGAGCACACCAGCAAGGGTGCTCCACTCTCGCGAACCTAATCCCCGTCCTCGAGACGATATTGTGAAGATCGGCTCGCTAGGAGCCTGGCCCAAAACGTTTCTGGGCCGGCAACATGAAGGGGACGAGGCGCAGGGATCCTACGAGAATCCTGTCTGCCCTCGTCCGCAGGGTGATACCCTGCCAAAAACTGCTTTCGGTTCCGAAGGGCACCTATATGTAGGGTCAGTGGACGGGCATCCTACCAACAAATGTCCTGCCGTGCCAATGGTGAAAAATCCTCAAGAAACGCAGAGGCACACGTGCCTCGAGGAAACCCAGAGACGATGCCCCCTGGCCGCGGACGCAGAAACGGGCCCAATTTCAAGCATGGCACGGTCAGGCATTACAGTGGCGACCAAGGTAGGCCTGTCCCTGCGATGGCTGCCAGTCCTCCTACGCTTACCAGGGCGAGACGCAGGGCCCTCGCGGTCTGGGATCCCGAGGTCCCTGATCGCGAGGTCTCTGTGCTTGGAGGCACCATCCTTGAGTGCGACTATTGGTTCGAAACTGACCCGGGGACGAACGTGGCGCTCGGGGCCCGCTGCTGGGGGGGAGGCTGCGCTGGCGTCGCACACCAAGGGAAAACGGCGCCGCCTCCTCGGGTCTGCGTCCCTTCCCGAGAGTCGCACGATCGAGCGAACGCAGAGGAGGAGGAAGGGTGGTCACCGCAGGCAGCAATGCCAGGACTGCGGCCGTTGCGACACGGCCTGCGTCCAGTCCTGGCCGCTCGCGGCGTCACCGGGGACGCAGGGAACGGAGGCAGACGCGGTCAAGGTCGCAGCCTTGGCAGCACGAGTCCGAGCAGGGCAGGCACGACGAGAGAATATTGTGGGTGCTCTCAAGCTTCGAACCTTTCTTGCAAAACTGGCATCGCCAAAACTTGGCCCCAACGGGCCGAAGAACGTGTCGGAACCCCGCGGGGCCTGGGCGGCTTCCGACATCGAGGTCGAGTGTCAAACCGTTTCCCCCCCAGAAAGGCGGTGCCAGCCTGTGCGTTCCACCTAAGGAGCGAGTTATACTGCCGAAGGCCAGCCCTCATGGCCTTTCGCTGTATCTTGGGAGCGGAGTTGGTGTCCTGCCCAAGGCACGCGGCAAGGTCTGCCCATCGCTTGCCAACAGCATGGGCATGAGTCCCACGCTGATGGACCCTGACGAGAACAATACTGATGACAACTTCAAGTCCCCTAGGTCTTGAACTTTGCTGCAAATGGCCTCCCAAAGATCAACATTCAGACGCCGAGGGGAACAGCACCATTGAGGGCCGCCATTGAGGCCGTCCAAGAGGCCTGTGAAGTCCGCAAGGACCACGACGGGAGGGAGGCACACCTGGAGGACCTGGAGGACAGCGAAAAGCTCGGCCCGAGGAGATGATTGGACTGGGCCTGGCAGAGGCCCCGACACCAGGATGTCGATGCCCTGCCTCACTCCACGGAGCTTCGCGAAGCCCAAGCCTGCTCGGGCCGCCTCTGGCCAATACCACTGATGATGCTGATGCTGATGTGGAGGAGGAGGAGGCGGGGAGGGAGGAGGAGGAGGAGGGGGATGGGGGAGGAGGAGGAGGAGGAGGAGGAGAAGGAGGCCGCCAATCCATCCTGCATGCCGATGCTCATGGCGGGCCGATCGACGTGTTGAATTCAAACACCGATGTGCTGTGCATTGGCCTCCTTCGTGCTGAAGGGAACCGTTCCGGATCGAAATGCCCAAATCCCTGAGGTAACGTTCATCGCGCCCAGGGTGCTCTCGAGGCCGTCACAACACTTGTTCACTTCGAGGCCGACGATCCTGACTACAATGCCCTGCTGGCGCTGACGATTTCGATCGTCACGGCGCGCAGCTGGTGGCCCTCGTAGAACTCGTAGCTCAGCTGGCTGCCCTCGTACCTGAGCTGGTGGCCCTAGCAGCTCAGATTGCGGCCCCCATAGTTCAGCAGGTGCCCGTGGTAGTTCAGCTGGTGGTCCTCGTAGGCCTGCTTGTGGTTCTTGTAGGTCGCCGCGTGGCCCTCGCAACTCAGCCCGTGGTCCTCGTAGCTCTGCCGGTGGCTCTGGTTGCTCAGATTGTGGCCGTCGCAGCGCAGCTTGTGGCCCTCGTAGGACAGCTGGTGGCTCCAAGAAGCTCTGCTGGTGACTCCTAGAGCTCTGCCTCTGGCCGTCGTAGATCAGCCTGTGGCCCTCGTAGCTCCGCTAGAAGCTCTCGTAGTTCAGCTGGTGGCCCTCGGAGATCTGCTTGCTGCCCTAGGCGCTCAGGTCGTGGCCCTCGTAGAACTGCAAGGTGGTCCTCGTAGATGAGCAGGTGGCCCTTGTAGCCTAGCTTGAGGCTCTCGTAGCTCTGCCCGTGGCCCTTGAGCTCATCTTGTGGCCCCCTGTAGTTCACCTGGGTGCCCCCGTTGCTTTGGCGGTGGTCCTCGTAGATCAGCAGGTCTACCTGGTAGTTCAGCCGGTTGTTCTTGTAGCCGTCGTAACTCTGCTGGATGCCCTCGTAGCTCAGCTGGTGGATCTAATAGCTCAGCCCGTGGCCGTCGTAGCTCAGCTCGTAGTTCTCGTTGCTCTGCAGGTTGCCCTGCTGGCGATGCCAATACTTCTAATGGGTTTGCTTGTTGCCCTTGTACCTCAGCTTGTGGCCCTATAGCACACTTGGTTGCTGTCGTAATTCCGGTATTTGCCCTCGTAGCCCTGCTTGTGGCTCTCGGAGCTCTGCCTGTGGTTGGCCCCGTAGTTTGGCTTGTGTCCGTCGAAGCTCCGCTGGGGGATCTCGTAGCTCAGGTAGTGGCCCTTGGACCTCTGCTTGCTGCCCTTGCGGCTCATGTCGTGGCCCTCGTACATCAATCAAGACGTGGTTCTCGTAGATCTGTAGGCGACCCTCGCAGCTCAGCTGGTGGGCCTCATAGCTTTAGCTGTGATCATGCTGGTGGCTCACGAAGGTCTGCCAATGGCCATCGTAGCTCAGCCAGTGGCCCTCGCAGCCCAGCTGGTGGCCCTCGTAGTTCAGCTGGTGGCCCTCGTTGCCTTGCTGGTGCCTCTCGCAGCTCTGCCAGTGGCCCTCGTAGTTCAGCCTGCGGCCCTCGCAACTGAGCCTCGCACGTGGCCTCCACCGCCAGGCCTGGCGCCAGGATGATCGCGGGCACGTGGAGGTTGCCGTGCGGCCGCGTATCGTGGTCGTAGTGGCGGTCGTCGATCACGTACTGGTGGTCGTACTGGTTGCGCTAGTGGTAGCCGCTGACGCCGTACAGTTTGTCGTCCTGGTCGAACTGTTGGTCGTATTGGTGGTCGTACTTGTCGCACTGGTCGCGCTCCAGGACCTCGACGACAATGTATTTGAACTCCGCCAGGCGCTGATGAAAACTTAGCTTTCGGCCGCTGGGTGCCTGAGCGTAGGGCTTTACCTCCACGCCGTTCGCTGTCAGGTGATCTTCCTCCGTGGCGTCCGAGGCTGCTAGCATCGCCCTCGCAAGCAGCGCGACGTCTTTGCAGCGTACCCCCTGCTTCTTCCTGGCAGCGTATGGCAGGCGGTTCAGAGCCGCATTTAGCGGCCTCGTCGGCATGTCTGTCTCCGGAATGCGTCTCGTCCACGCCCTCGGGCCCGCGTGCCGTTCGCCGCATCTCATGCGGTCAGGCCGGCGGCCAGTGGACTATGGCCAGGACCCCCCAAGGGCGCGCGCGCGCGCGGCCGGGCGCGATGCCAGGGGGCGGGGCGAGTGCGAGGGATGGATCCCGCATATGGCCTTGCTGTTGCTCCTCCTCCTCCTCCTCCTTTCCGCTTCTCTTCCTCTTCTTCCTCTTCCTCCTCCGCTTTCTTCGTTCCTATGTGGAGATCTGCCCCCCCCTCTGCTCTTCCCGGCGCGCTGTTCGTGCCGTGCTGAAGGATACGTTGGCCCGATGGCCCTTCGCGCTCGGAGGGCCCGAAGACGCAGGTGCCGCGCGGCGGCCGCGACGCTGCGCACTGCCGCCGACACGGCGTGGCAGGTGCACGCGCTGCATCGCTGAGGCTCGCGCGGAGCCCCAGGCACAACCCCTTGCACAGTGCGCCATCTTCACGCCCCCGAGGCCGCGACTTCTCGCGAAGCGCACCCGGGCCGCGCCCTCGAAACCACTGTCCTCCGCAGACGACGCTGGGTGCGCGCTCCCGAGGCCACGACCGCTCGCAAAGTACACCGCAGTCGCGCCCTCCGAGGCCACGACGCCTGGAACAGAATGCCGCTGGCGGCGCACGCGAGGGGAGCCGTGTGCGCCGCGGGGTGGGCGGGCGGTCTTCCGAGGAGCCGGGAGGCCTCCACCAAGGAGGCAAAGGGGGGACCTCTCTGCAGCCCTCCCGCCCTCCGGGGGGGCCTCCTGCAGGGTGTGTTCCCCGCCGCTTCCCGCAGCTCATGGGCGATCAACAGCGCATGGGGTATCAACCACTCATGGGTTGTCAACCACTCATGAGTCCAGGGTTATTGGTACACGTTGGTCGGAAGACGTCGGTGCAAAGATGAAGTAGGAAGGCGCTGGGAGTAGATTGGGCTCTCGCCCGCCCCCTGAAGAGGAGGGAAGAGGTAAGACCGCTCGAAAGAACGCTCGATCCTAGAAGTAGGAAGGCGCCGAAAGCGCATTGGGATCTGGGAACCCAGAAATACCTACTTTCAACGATCAACGTGTAACTCATGAGTTGTAAACGGCCCTTCCTGGAGGTCTCTTGGGGCCCTCTGAGAAGGCCCCTGCCTGTCGAGAGGCCACCCCCCGCCCTCTCGGAAGGCCGCCTCCTTCGCCCCCTGCCCGTCGCTTCGCCTGGGGGGCAAAACTGTGCGGTGACGGACCGCGCGGAGGCCTCGACCTCCCCAAAGATCTCACCGCACGGCCCGTCACCGCACGGCCTTGGGCACTCGGAGGGCCCCGTTGCCCGAGGCGCCTTCGGCGAACGCCCCGTTGCCTATAGAAACGTGCGGTGAGTGACCCCGAACCATCGCCGACCCACCACACGGTGCCGTCGCCGCACCGCTTTGGGGGTCCCCGGCTCGTCCGTGCCGCCAGCTCTGAGGGAGGCCGTCGACGCAGCCGCTGTCGCCCGAGCCGGCGCGAAGCCCGGAGCCGGCTGCGACGACGGCGGGGCTGCTGGCCAGATCGAGGCGCCTGCCCTGCGCGCGCGGGCTGGTGCTCTGGGCGCGAGCACCCGCCTCGTCCGGCCCTTCGCCCGTGGGAGCCGCTGTGGCACGAGGGCACGGCCGCGACACTGGTGGCCGGGGTCGAATGGGCCTCGCACGCTCAGAACGTGCAGATCATCGCACGTCTTCAGCGGAGCTGTTTGCTGCAAGTGTGATCAGGAAGTCGCTGCAGAAGTGATCCTTTGCAGGTGCAGGCGACCAGAGCGGGCTCGCCTTGCATTCTGGCGCTGTCTGACTCCCTGCGGCGTCCAGTGCAACATGTCACAGCTTCACGCGGGGATCGCTTGCCCCTTTCTGTCACAAGTGGGTTGGGCACTTCCCTGGAAGCGTGTGCATGGGGGTAGCTCCCAACAGGTAGAGTCCAGGAGCGCTACGTGCAAGAAGATGGCTATCATGAGCAAACATGGCGAGACGGAGCCCTCGTCTGCCTCGTGCTGCTGGTGCTGCTGCGCACCCTCCCGAACCAGGAGGACAGAGCCCCGTGCTGTTGAGCAGCAGGAGAACGACGCCCTTGTCTTCCTCCTGCTGCAGCGGCTGCTGCTCTCCACCACTGGGAAAGACGGGCCACGGGAGCAAAACGCGGCTCGGACAGGCTCCTCGCACCACAGCGCGTCGTCCGCGGGCCTCTCGAAGGGCCGCTGCACCTCCTGGAGGACGCTGACCTGCCGCCTGAACTTGGCGAGCGTGGCAGGAAGCCCTCCTCGGGAGGGCTTGTACACCTCGCGGCCGCGCCCGCCTCACGCCCCTGGGCGCCTAGACGTGCCGTTCCGGAGCCGCCGGGGTCCACTCCTGAGGCTCGTGGGGGGTACTCTGGGGTGTTTCTGGGCCTTGCACAACCTGACTTCGCGACCTCGCGCCGCCCCCTTTGGAGAAGGGCAGCCGCTCCGGCCCAGTCCGCGACGCGCGAAGCGCGACTGACTTCGCGCCCCCGCGGATGACCTAGGGTCCTCCTGGGAGTTGTGCGGGGTGCTCTGGAGGGCATCTGAGCCTCCTCTGAGATCCTGGAGCAAACTTTTAGGCCACGGCCATCCTTGAACGCATCCGGCCGATGGTCGGGTCAAGGTCTTGCTGTGAGGAAGCTTGACTACGGAGCGAAACCTGTCGTCTCAAAATAAAAGTGGATTGTTCTGCTGGTGCACTAGAACCAAAACCTAAGCAATGCCAAGCCCCCTCCTGACCCCGAGAGGTCGTGCTTTCGACGAGCCGACTGTGCCAAGAAACTAGAATCACACACTCCTGCATTCAAATGTGGACCATGCGAAGTACGCGCAGTATACACATGCAGAAGGCCAGCGTATCCATCCACATCGGGCCGAACGCTGGAACACCATGTGGGCACACGTGTATTCAATAATCGTCAAGGCTAACCACATAGATACGTACGTATTTGTGCGAGACAAGACGGGTACCAGAACAGATGGAAATGTCTTCGCTGGACTGCCCAGATCTCCTGAATATTGTTTAACCAAGCCTCTTCGGAAGGGCTCGGTAAACCCTTCCCGACAAGACGGCTGCAATACCTCCGACGGGCCCCAGTATGTTCCCCCTTATGCCTCCAAGAGGTCCGCAAGATGCTCCTAATAAGCTCCCAGTGAGGTTCCAAGATCCTTCCAAGTGTGGTGGAATGAGGGTGAGCAGGAAGAGGAGGAGGATGAGGAGGGGAAAGGGGGAGGAAAGACGGATGAGGAGCACAAGACTGATGACAATGAGAAGGTTCAGACAGGGCACTGGACTGGGAAAGTCTTACGCTCGACATCCTCCATGTCGCGCTGCTTCGATGGCACGGTCTGCAACAAACAATGGGATAAGAACTGACCCTGGAACCTTGATTGCCACGGCCTCGCCGGTCTCAATGTTGCTGCCAAGGTAGCACGCACTTGACGTGCCCTCGCCCAACAAGGTGTGGTCTCCGTCCGCGAAGGCAAACTTGCCCAGTATACACTTCCTGGTCCCTCTGCAACAGCTCCCTATATTACACTTCGGAAGTTGGTGCAACGTGCCGATCTAATCATCCATGTCTTTGTTTCCATCGCAGTCTTTGTCCCTGTCGACGCCTATCTGGCAATCACTCTCTCCCTCCCTCTTTCGCTCTCTCCCTCTGCTAACCGTATTGACGGCTTTGCACGGGCAAATGTGCGCGACAACTGCAACCGCACGCGGAAGAACCTCTGCAACCTTACTTTTGTACCAATGCGCGTTTGCTGATGTCCGTGCGCGCACCGACTCTGCAACTTGCCAGCACGGTTGCATGATTTCACGTGCAAGGGCAGCGTTGGCACCCATAGGCGGGTTCAATTGCACGTGCTCGGCAGTGCGGCCTTACTCGCCAGCGAACTGTTCGACAAATCTCGGAGTGCGTTCTCGGGGCGCGAACCGTCAGGCGTGTTCAAGTGGGCGGCAACTGTTATCAAGAACAAGCTCCAACACAAATCATCCCTGCAAGGACTGCGTCTTGCGCGTGGGGATATTCGTTACGAAAGCTTGACGCTCTAGGCGCACAAATACGTTCTGATTGAACCTCTGCAGCGCTCCCATCACGTGTGCCCATGTGCGGTTCCAGAAGGCACGTGGGCTTTCTGGCGAACAGCAATAGAAGTCCCATGACCCATGATTCGCGTGCGCAGGATACGTGCGAGATGGCTATGCCAAGGTGATGCTACGACGCTGTCTTTATAGCAAGCTGCCGACTCCATATCATGGCCCCATGCTGCCAAGATGTGAGGTGCCTGTGTGATGCCCGGCAAATGTGCTTGCGGGCTGATGGTAGCCCCCTTCTGCGACATGCGAGCCCACTCCGCGCTCCACTTCCGACCCCCCAGTGTGTCTCCACCTTCCTTGCCTTTCCTGCCTATCACTGTCTCTCCTCGGTCTGCGCATCGGTTATGCCATTCTCTTCCTGCCTCGTACCTCGTCCTTTCTCATCACTGCCCTGCCTTCTTCTTCACCCCCCTCCATCTCTCACACCCTCCTCCCCATCACTACTGCATCCTTCCACATCGTTGTCGTCGTCGTCGTCGAGGTCGCCACTGTCGCCGTAGCCGTCGTTGTCGTCATCGTCTTTTCCGTCGTCGCCATCGGTCACCTCCTCATCCTCCTCCCCCTCATTTTCCATTTTACGTACGTGCGCCCCTCATCGAGCTGCTGCTCGTGTATGTTGTTTTTGCATTCGCTCACGCAGCCGCCGCCAACTGTGCATCGCGCCAGGATCTCCCCTATGTAGATCTTTCAACGACCAACCATGCGCCGAACTGAACTGATCTGGCGGGGGTTCTTCAACTTTGGTGTCACTCAGTTCGACCCAGTGGCTCGTCACTCACTCGAACTGAACTGATCTGGCGAGGGTTCTTCAACTTTTGAGTGTGGCCCCCATCACCCAGCGTACCTCACTGCTGGGGGCCTCCGACGTCGCGACTCTGCCACGACGCGCCCTCCCGCCCCCCAAGGTCTGAGCCTCCTCCCCAGCACGGCCTTTGCACCCCCCGCCGTTCGGGGACGACCCACGGGGCCCTGCGCGGGCCCCGCGAGGCAGAACAGCTGCACACCCCCCCCCGTCGCGCTCCTGAGAACCTCGGGGCGTGACGGTGCCTTGGGCCCTCCGCAGTGGACGGGTGGCGACCCACCACCCCTCTCCGGCCAGCCCTGCACCACTCCCGCGGCCCCCACCTCTCGGAGGCCAGCCCCCGGGTCCTGGACTGCGCCGATGCCGGCGAGGCGCCCGAGCTCGTGGCCTGGGCCGCCTGGGCAGAGCGGCGGGCGCGGGCCGAGAGCTCCACGTCTCGGACGGGCGCTGCGGCTGAAAAAGCAGCCCCCGGCCAGCCCCCCGCCGGGCCGCTGGGCTCCTCCTGGACGCCATGGGTCCCGAGCGCCTGTGGCCCCTGGCCACCCTCAGCGGTCGAGCGGGGGACGGAGGAGCCCAGGCCTCCACGCGCCGTGGTCTCCCTCGGGACGCGGGCCGCCGGTGCTCTCGACCCCCCTTCCTGGGGCACGCGCTTTGCCGCGGGCGGTTGGGGGCGGAGGTCGCTCTCCAGTGCTTAGTGCTTGGTGCTTCATGCTGAACGTGTGTGCATGTGTGTGCCTCACCGCCTCTCCGACTGCGTCCGCCGCGTTGCTGCACGCATGGCAGCGGCGTCAACGTGCGTGTGCATGTATTTGTGTGTGTGTGTTGCCCAGCTCGGACCCTTCGACTACTGTGATCGCCGTGGTGTTGCGCACACGGCTGCTGACCGAAAAATATTATACGTTTCCCGCCAGCAGCCGTATTCGACTTTTTTTCTGGTCCAGGAGGGATGCAGCCTCCTTGGCGTATAGAACCTTCAACATCTCGCCATACAAATGTTTTAAGTTTGCCGATGGAAAAGTACACACACACATACATATATATATACAAGACTGCATTGGCGCTGCGCGCCATGCACCTTGGTCCTTTGAGTTCTGCACGCAAGCGGAATGCGTACGTGCGTACATGCGCGCATGCATGTATACACGCGCACGTGCATGCACGTTCCGTATGAATGTCTAGGTGTATACAATGTGCTTACATTGTTGTATGTGTGTTTACAGCGTACATGTGTACATATGAATTTATGTGTGTAAGGGTATAAACATGCATCTGCAACTCGTACGGGGCATCCTCGGGCATCTTCGCTGCATGCCACGAGACCCTCAACGACTGGGTCACAATGTGAAATGTCATGGGAGCAAAATCAATGAATATTGGCATTCGGAAACATCGTGGGGGTGTTTTCGGGGCCTTCGTGGGCCGGTTTGGCGCCTTCATGGGCCGTCCTGGGGCCTTCTTGGGCCGTCTTGTGGAGCTTGGGCCCGCTGGGGCCTCCTTTGGACCCATCTTGGGCACTTCCGGGGACCTCCCATGGCCCTTTTGGGTCTGTGCAGGGAGCCCTTGGGAGGCCTCTTGGTTCCATTGTGGGCTGTCTTGGGGCTCTCGTGGGCGATCGTGGGGCCCGGCTCGGCCGTCTTGGAGCTTTCTAGGGGGCCTTTTGGGGCGTCTGGAGGCGATCTCGGGGGCTTTGAAACCGTCTTGAAAGCTGATCAAATCCGAAAGGCGAATATGCTAAAATTGTTACGAAGGGAATGGGACGATTTTTGTGCTTTGAAGGATCCTTGGAAAGCTTGTTGGGGTGCCTTGGGGGTCTTTATGTTGGCATTCGGAAACATCGTGGGGGTGTTTTCGGGGCCCTCGTGGGCCGTTTTGGCGCCTTCATGGGCCGTCCTGGGGCCTTCTTAGGCCGTCTTGGGGAGCTTGGGCCCGCTGGAGCCCCCTTTGGACCCATCTTGGGCACTTCCGGGGACCTCCCATGGCCCTTTTGGGTCTGTGCTGGGAGCCCTTGGGGGGCCTCTTGGTTCCATTATGGGCTGTCTTGGGGCTCTCGTGGGCGATCGTGGGGCCCGGCTCGGCCGTCTTGAAGCTTTCTTGGGGGCCTTTTGGGGCGTCTGGAGGCGATCTCGGGGGCTTCGAAACCGTCTTGAAAGCTGATGAAACCTGAAATGCGAATATGCTAAACTTGTAAGTTCTACGAAGGGAATGGGACGATTTTTGTGCTTTCAAGGATCCTTGGAAAGCTTGTTGGGGTGCCTTGGGGGTCTTTATGTTGGCATTCGGAAACATCGTGGGGGTGTTTTCGGGGCCCTCGTGGGCCGTTTTGGCGCCTTCATGGGCCGTCCTGGGGCCTTCTTGGGCCGTCTTGGGGAGCTTGGGCCCGCTGGAGCCCCCTTTGGACCCATCTTGGGCACTTCCGGGGACCTCCCATGGCCCTTTTGGGTCTGTGCTGGGAGCCCTTGGGGGGCCTCTTGGTTCCATTATGGGCTGTCTTGGGGCTCTCGTGGGCGATCGTGGGGCCCGGCTCGGCCGTCTTGAAGCTTTCTTGGGGACCTTTTGGGGCGTCTGGAGGCGATCTCGGGGGCTTTGAAACCGTCTTGAAAGCTGATAAAATCCGAAATGCGAATATGCTAAACTTGTAAGTTCTACGAAGGGAATGGGACGATTTTTGTGCTTTGAAGGCCCGTTGGAAAGCTTTTTGGGGTGCCTTGAGGGTCTTTTTGGCCGTCCTGACGCAATTGGAGTCCCTCTTGGAGCGCTCTTGTGCTGTCTGGGGCCTCCCTTGAGCCTCTCTGATGACCCCTCGGATCGCTCTGGGTCTGCTGGCAAGGCGTTTATGGAGACGCGGAAAGCCGGGTGACCTTTTCCAAGGACGTCCAAGGGAGCCCGAGAAACCCAGATCCCGGGGGTCCAGTTTTTTTTTTTTGGGGGGGGGGGATGGGTTTCCCCTCCCCCCCCGGGCTTGCAAAAATATAAGAAGAGGAATATATATATATATGTATATATAAAATGTATGTATGTATGTATGTATGTATGTATGTATGTATGTATGTTTGTATGTATGTATGTATGCATGTATGTATACATATACATACATATATCTATATAGATGTGTGTGTTTCGTCTGTGTAGGTGTTGGTGTGCGTGTGGGTGTGGGTGTGGGTGTGAGTGTGGGTGTGGTCAAGCTAGCCAGCTCGAGCGAGTCAAGCATGGCATGCCCTGTCCCACCCGCCCTCCCACAACATAAGAAACAGTGATGGCACAACTGGTGGCTGCGCGGGCATTTCAGTGTCGCAGGTCCCAGAACGCTGACTTCCAGGTCCCAGAGCGCCCCAGGAACGCCCCAAGAGAGCCGAGACGCCCCCGAGACGATCCGAGGGGCCTTGAGTCGCCGAAAGATCGCTCCAAGACGCCCAAGATGGCCTCCAGACGGCCGCAGACGCCGCCAAGAAACCGCGGGGAGCCTCAAGAGGCCCTCCAAGAGCCTGGACAAGCAAAAACCTCCCGGGCATTCGTCACCCCAGGGCCTCCTGGAACGCCCCGGCGCCCAATGAATTGGCGAGCTAAGAACGTGCGCCGAGCCAAAGCGGGAGCGCAACTTTGAGAAAATTTCGCTAGGCGCCCAAGCGGGAAGGTCATTCCATTCACTTCGAGCGGGGGGTGTGTGTGCCGCGCCCAATTCTTGCCATGCACTTTTGCGGGGTGGGCGACAAGAACAGCTATGTGGGCAGGGAAAATCAGCATGGCATTGTTTCTGACAAGTAAGGTGGCCACTCCCGCCTTGGGGTTGCCCCAGAAGTCCGCGCGCGATGTGCGCCGCGCCCAACTCCTGTCACGCATTTCGCATCGTCGACGACAAGACAGGCCATGATGAAAGGAAAAACAGCAACTCTGTACTGTTTTTTTACAGTCAGGATGGGAGGGCCCGCGGCCCGCATGGACGTCCGCGCGCGATGTGCGCCGCGCCCCATTCCTGCCACATATTTCGCACCGTCGGCGACAAGGCAGGCCATGCTGAGAGGAAAAAACGGAAACTTTGTTTTGATATGTTACAGTCGGGATGGGCGGGCCCGGATTGACAGCCGCGCGCGATGTGCGCCGCGTCCAATATGTGCGCGGTGTCCCAGTGTTGCCACATATTTCGCACCGTCGGCGACAAGGCAGGGCATGCTGAGAGGGAAAAACGAAGACTTCGTATTGATTTCTTACAGTCAGGATGGGCGGGCCCAGATTGACTGCCGCGCGCGATGTGCGCCGCGTCCCATTCCTGCCACGCTTTTCGCATCGTCGACGACAAGAAAGACGATGTTGAGAAGAAAAACGGGTACTTTGTATTGATCTTTTACAGTCCGGATGGGAGGTCCTGGATTGGGCCGCTATCGGCTGGAATACGAGGTAGGTGGGGGTATATTCTAATAAGGAACAAGGATGTGGGTGTGGGTGTGGGTGTGGGTGTGCGTGCGTGCGCGGCGTGCGCGTGTTTGTGTGTGTGTGTGTGTGTGTGTGTGTGTGTGTGTGGGGATGTGTGCGTGTGTGCGAGAGAGAGAGAGAGAGACAGAGAGAGAGAGAGAGAGTGTGTCCTTGCGTGCGTGCTTGTAGGTGTGTGGCCGTGTGTATGTGCATTTGCATGCGTGCGTGTGTGTCAAAGAGGCACTGCAGCGCCATTGCTGATCTGTGGTTCGTGGCTCGATGCCTGCGGCAGAGCAGGCGGGCGGGGAAGGAGCAAGCTCCCGTCTTGAGGCGGGCCGCGGCAGACGAGGTGCGCCCCTGCTCCAGGACCGTGGCACGTAGGCAACCCCTGGGGGGCCAGGGAAACAGCATACAGCCATCGTGCTACCATAAGGAGCATGGAGTGAGGAAGCAACGAGTTTTTTTGTGACCGCGGCGGACTAGGTTCCACGACCCAGATGTAAGGAGCGGCCCGAAAACCAGTGCCCCTCCAGGGCCCAAGGTGGTCCTTGCTGTTCAGTTCTTCTTTGCCTGAAAAGAATGTTTCGCGACGGTGCGCGCCCCCAAATGCCCTGGACGCGGAATACTGAAACTGGCGATCTATATTGTGGCGACGGCGCTGTTGGTGAACCACAAAGTGCCTTCGGTGTGGTATGGAGATGTGGAAAAGGGGGCTGGCACGACAATCGCCAGTAAGCGACACCCAACGTTTCAATCTTTTCATTATGCGTTGGCGTCGTCAACAACTGCCCCACGGAATTCGCCAGCCCACCGGGCCAGAGATGTGCTAAAATCTCCATTAACAGGTACACGGAATAAGCATATATACAAGACTGCATTGGCGCTTCGCGCCGTGCGCCTTGTTCCGGGCCCCCCGCGGCGAAGCAATACATGACCATTTGCTTCAGCAGGGGGACGTCGAGGCCTGGACGGGCGACCGGCTGATTTTTCTGAAAGCCCTGGTGCCTGCTGACACCGCGTTCGCCCGATGCGCTTGCACGCTTGTGCGCAGGAGTGGGGAAGGAGTAATGTTTTTTTTCGCGCGCGACGGTTCTTTGAGGAAGTAAGAAGCGCTCCCATGACATCCCGAAGGAGTCGCAGTAGCTCCGAACAGATAGATTTTTGGTCGCTTTCTGTATGCCTGGAGGGATCCAGGCACTCAGGAAATCTTCGACCGTTGAACTTCGAATCTAGCTAGATCCATTGCCTGTCTCTCTCAATCGAAGAACTTAAACTCCGAGCCTCAAGCGTGGAACCAAGATCGTCGGGTTAGCTCGATGTACTTCGTGAGAGAACGCCGTCTGGGCGTTTTTGGGGCTCTTTTGGGCCGTCCTGGGGCCCTGTTGGGCCGTCCTGGGGCATTCTTGGGCCGGCTTAGGAAGCTGGGGCCCTCCAGAGGTCTTCTGAAGCCATCTTGGGCCCACCCGGGGGCCTCCAACGGCCTTCGTAGGGTCTCCCATGACTTTCGTGGGTCTCTCAAGGGAGCCTTCTGGTGGCATCTTGGGTTTCTTGTGGGCAGTCTCGGGGCTCTCTTGGGCAGTCTTGGGGGCCTCTTGGGCAGTCTTGAAACTCTCTGGGGGGCCTCTTGGGCCGTCTTGGGGCGATATCGGGGGCCCATCGGGCCGTCTTGGACGCTGCGACGACCCCAACAACGGACATGCAAAAATCATACGTTTTCCTGAGGAATGGGGCGATTGTTGCTTCTTCGGGGCTCTCTTAGCGGCCTCTTGGGGCGTGTTGGGGGCCTCTTGGGCCGTCTTCAGACCATCGAGGTTCCTCTTGGAGCGCTCTTGTGCTGTCTTGGGTCTCTCTTGCGCCTCTCCGATGACCCCTCTGATCACCTTGAGTCTGCTGGCAAGGCCCGGCAAGGCGCCCTGGGAGGCCCGGAAGGGCCGGCGGACCTTTTCCAAGGGCGTCCAGGGGGCCGCCGAGACGTCCGAACGGGCGTCCAGGGCGTCCATGGGCGGGGTGTCTAGTTAGGGGTGGGTGGGTGTGTGGGGGGGTCCAGGTAATAAAAGTATGAGAATCGGAATACTTATAGTTCGCGCGCGTGCGCGGCGGCCCTGTGGCCCCCGGGCGAAGAGTTCGGCGAAGAGTGCCCCAGGCAGGACTCTGGCAAGGCCCCCCCAGAAATGGTTTTGCTCCTGGGTGCCGTCCTCGGGGCGTCCTCGAAAGCCCCAAGAAGAGCCAAGAGACCCCCAAGAAGCCATCGAGTTGGTCCAAGAGAGGCCCGAGACGCCACAAGATCGCCCCTAGACGCCCAAGATAGCCTCCAGACGGCCCACGAGGCCTCCAAGACGCCACAAGAGGCTTCCGAGAGGCCTCCCGAAAGAGTCACAAGATGTACACTTCATTACACTTCCACAGGTTGTTGAAGGAATTTCGCGTTTTCGCCTTTTCAGCTTCCCTACGTTCCAACGCGGCCCAAGAGGCCTCCAAGACCGCTCCAAGACGGCCCCAGGATCTTCAAGAGGACCCTTAAACAGCCCCAAACAGTCCAAGAGAGCCCCAATACTGCCCAAGAGGCCTCGAAGACGGCTCAAGATGCTCCCAAGACGGCTCCAAGAGAGGGCCCAGACGGGGGACCCGAGCGGCCATAAAGAGCTCTTTGCCCGAAGAGGCCCCGAAGAGGCCCCTGAGAGGCCCCAAGAGGCCACCCAAAGGCCCCCGTGAGGCCCCAGGAGGTCCCCAAAATACCGCCAAGAGGCCCCCGACAGGCCTCTCAAGAGACCGCAGGAAGCCTACCAAAGAGGCGTCTTCTCGACGATCAAGATTCGCTCCACGATACCCCCAAGAAGCCATCGAGAGGCAAGAGGCGTCTTGTCCACGACCAAGGTTGGCTCCCAAATACCCCCCAAGAAGCCATCGAGAGGCCGCCTCCTCATCCTTATCCTTCTCTCTTCAACCTCCCTCTCCTTGTCCTCCTCCCCCTTCTCGCCCGCCACAAACACACCAACATATAGCACCAAAGACACCATGTGGGCAGGCTCAACGGGCCAGAAGCGTGCTAAGATCTCCGGTGACTGGTAGCCCCGGGAGGCCCACAAAACGCCCCAAGGACGACTCCAAGAGCTCCAAAAATGCTTCCCAGGAGCCACCCAGAGCTCTCCGAGGAGGCGCCAAAAACATCCAGGAGGACTCTGACCCAGCACCCAAGCACGGCGGCAGGATGGGCCGAAAGGGATGAGAGAAATCCTCCAAAAAGGTCTGTCATTGTGAGGGCAGCTGGCCCAATGGGCCAGAGGCGTGCTAAGATCTCCGGTGACTGGTAGTCTCAAGATGCTCACAACAGGCCTCTCGGACGTTCCCAAGAGGCCCCCAAAATGTTCCCCAGGAGCCGCCCAGAGCGATCCGAGGAGACCCCCAAAAAACATCCATGAGGACTCTGACTCAGCACCCAACTACTGCGGTAGGATGGGCCGAAGGCAACTCGAGAAACCATGCGAAAAAGTCTGTCGTACTGGGATCTACGTCTGTCCGCAGAGGCCCGCAACAACCCCCCCAGAGGCAGCTCAACAGCAACTGCTTCAACTCGAACGCGCCTTACGCACCGCGCCAGAAAACAACCGCCGATCAACAACACCACATTGACAACCAACACCCGGGGAACTGAGAGTCGTCAAACAATATGGGCCTTCGGAATGAGCGAAGCGATTTAATAAACTAAGCGAGCTATAAGAACGTATGAGTATTCCATCGCTTTGATTCTACCATGACTATGGCAACGCGTATCCCAAGCACATAATGTAATCATGATTGTTGTGTCCCTCCCGCCGTGCTCGGTGCAGATCGCACAAGCCCGTTGATGCTGGAGGCTGGTGAGGAGCCTGACCTGGTGCTCTGCGTCGAGAACCCACAGTTTGCCAGACCAATCGGGTAGCCTGGGCACGGGCGAGGCGGCGGGCGCTGACTTGTCTGTCCAGTGGCTCGATCGTCCCCCATCGCACATTGCAATCCTGCTTGCACGAACTCCAGGGAGCCATACAAGGGTTAAGGTATGGACGAGGGGGATTTGGGTTTCGGGGCCCTGGGGTGTGGGAGATTCCGGGAGGGAATTCCCCGTTGGGTCCTGGCATGGGATCCCGCTCCGACCTCTCTCACGGATGACCCCTGTGACTCAGACGCAGGCCGGCACTTGCCGCCAGTAGCCGTGCCCTTGCCCCTGCGCGTCCCTGGGCTGATCGGTCTAAGGCCCATCCACTGCCCCAGCGAACGGCCCCAGGGGCCACTCACTCCTGCGGCCGATGGGCGCGCGACGGCGGAAACATGGTGGACGCCAGTCGTGCAGACCTGCTACGGCATCACTCCCTTAGCCTTGCTCTGCTGCACTGCCTGATGCCTCGAAGACTCGGTTCAACCAAACTACTCGCCCACTTCGTTCAACCCTGGTCGGTCAAGAGCAGACCAACCCAGCCAAACCCCCTCTACTGAACCCTGAAGCAAAACCTGGCCAGGCAACTTTCCATCAGGTGTAGCCTCATCTTCCATATCCCAGGTATGCACAGCAGCGTACTCATGTGGGGCTTGGCTGGCTCCTGCAGGGAACCAACGAGTGAGAGGTGCGAAGCCACTTCGTCAGTGTACCTTTCTGGTGAGCCCCTGCTGGCACAGACGCAACCATCATGATTCTGGTGACCGAAAAAAACAACATAGTTAGCTATGGTTTACTGCCCGATCCCCGCATCTGAAGTAAGCTGGTCTGCGCCGTTTCTATGCCCTTGTAGCCTTGTGATACGTCGGCGACGACCTTGTTGTGGTTGCTGCTAAGCTCACTCTTGTGGTATATGCTCTTGGGGTCCCTCGCCATCACTGATTTGGACTCCTGCTGGAAGCAATATCAACCACATCAAGCTGGCGATGCCAACTACGAAACCATCGTAGAAGATGAAGCATAACTCGGATAACGCGAAGTGGATACATGGCCGAGTGGCATCGCGCAACGGTCCCATGAACACGGCCATGCAGAAACACGCATTTGTGACCATGAACGCGCCCCGACAGCAAGGCCACAACTCTCAAAACAATGAGTACGTATACTTTACACCTGTTCACGTGCGTGCGGGTGTATACTCGAAACATCAAATTTGTCGAATGCGTGCAAATAACGTAACGTGCAATCAGAATGTCTGTTCACATGCGCTCACATTCGTGTGATGAGGACGTGCGGACAACTAGGTAGTATGATATGTAACTCCATGCGCGAACCAACAATCCCATCCATGCAAGTTCATGCGCGCGCACATGAACACAATCATACACACGTCCGCATCCACGCATCCCCACATTACGAACCACAGACACAGATGCAAGCACATGTTCGCACTTTGCCGTTCGGCTCAGGACGCATGTGCTAGCTGGGGGATGGGCCCGATCGTCGTGCAACTCTCCGATTGCCTTGCGCGTTCGTCCGCCTGCCGTGGAGCAAAAATATCTGACCAGCTTGCAGACAGACTTGACTTCAGATTGAGTGGGTGTTGATCTTAATTTGGTGCTTGTCGCTCTCTGCCTCTGTCCGCTCTCGTGCAAGTCCACGGGTTCCACGGGTTCCACGGGTGAGGCTTGGGGCTACGTTGCAATTGGGCCGCTTGTAGTCCCTGCGGGGGAGCGGAGCTCGCACCAAATGGTAAAACATGTGTGTATGTGTCCGCTGGCCGCGCGCACTTTTTGGCTCCCTGTCTGTCGGCTTAATTTTCTGCGCCTCGTCGCTGCTCGCGATGCCGCGGCGCCAAGCAAATGTGTGTGTGTGGGTTTGCATGCGCTGACTGTGCACCTCTTCGACACCCAGTTCGAACCTGCCTCTCCAGAGGCAAGACAATGCATGCCTATGATCGACGCTACCCAATCCGTTTCGGTCTCTGCAACCACAATGATGTGTGCAATTAGCTTGGACGGATCACTTCCATGCTCTCGCGGCGGTGACGCCACCTCACTGGCCCATACACGCTGGCTTTTCTACCTTGTCCGTAGCAGCATCCGTGCCACCCGATCCCGCGACTGCGGCCCGGTGCCGCGTTTGAGAAAACGTGGTGCTCGCGGCGCTCGGTACCGCGTGGACGCTGCGCGACGCGCCGCTGAACGACAAGTGCGCATGTGTATATGTATGTGTGCTTGCGTGTTTTGGCCCGTGCTGTATCGCGTGATTCCTCTTGCCTGGCCCGGCTTCAGCTCGCTCCAGCAGGGCCCTGAACTGCCGAACGGCATGTGGCTTGTGCGGCCACGCTGTCCACACTCCAAAGGTGAGCGTGCGTGTGTGCATGTGTGTGAGCTTGTTCGGCTCTGGCCGGTCTGGTGCATGCCATTGGTTTGCTGTTTTGTGTCCATTGCAACTCTCCTCATCAGCCTGCCCTTAATCCAGGAGTTCACGGCTTCGGGCTGCACGTGGTCGCAACCGAACGTGCGCGTGCGGACTCAGTGGCTGCAAAGGCCGCTCGTTACGACTGACACGTGTGCCTGCGTGCACGCCACTCTGTTTTTTGAGCGCGCGTGCCATGACCATGGGCATGCCCGCGCGCGTGTGTGCACGTAGCCGCCTGCTGCCCAGCCGCCTGCCTCTGGCCTGCCCTTCGCGGTTCTCTCCTCTCTTTCCTTCTGTCCTCCAGCTTGCTCGCGCCTTCGGTTTCCGCGCCGCCGTGCACTTGGCTGCCTTTTTTTTGTTTGCCTTCTGCGCTGGGTGCTCGCCTCGACTGATCTGGTGGCCCCCCTTGTCCTGGCGCTCGCCAGGCTCCCCGCTGGGGTCGGCGCCTCTTCGGCGGGCCGTCCAGCTCCTCTCTCTCCTCCGCCCCCCCTGCCTCCCCGGCTGCCCCTCTGCAGGGAAACAAACTCTATACACCGACGCCTTTTCCCGACCCTGCGCTGACACTTGCGCGAGAAAGCGGATGCTGGTGTGTACGGGATCCTGGTGTTTATATTTTTCTGTTTGTTTCCCCGGGGAAAACGGGGGAAACACGTATACACCACACCGCCCCGACGTCGTTCCTGACCCTCAAAAGGTCCTGGGATTGAAAAACAGGCCGCCACTGGTAATGTATATGCTCCAATTTCCGATTCTGGGCTCTCGTTTTTCCCCCGCGCCTCATTTCCTGCACCGTGCGTCCTTGGAGGTCCCACTGGGACTGTGCGAAGGTTGCCATCTCCGTACGCGCCACGGCAACGACCTCGGCGTTGGTTCCCGACACCGCGGGGATCGGTCAACCTTGAACGATCGGCGGTTTCCGAAAAGTCAGATCGTTTAACATCGACCGACTCTGGGTCGCCAGAGGCGTTCAACGTTGAACGCGGCGGGGTCGCCGCCTGTCGACACGACGCGAACCTCCCGCACCACACAAGGCGGCACATGTAGTTTGCGCGCACCCCACCTGTGCTAACGTTGCCCGCTGACTGCCGTGATCAGAGCGTCGGGGTGAGAAGTCTGCGTGCGTGCGTGTGTGTGTGTGTGCGTGTGTGTGCATGTGTCTGTGCGTGCGTGCGTGTGTGTGTGTGTGTGTGTGTGCGTGCGTGCGTGCGTGCGTGCGTGCGTGCGTGTGTGTGCGTGTGCGTGTGTGTGTGTGTGTTTGTGTGTGTGTGTG